GAAATGTGTCACTTCATGCTCAAGCAAAATTCCTGAAGGTTAATAGGATTGACATCTTATTATTGTCAGGAAAACAACAAGTGCAGACTTGGAGCGTGGGAGAATAGAACCCGGAAGTTAAGCGTGCTTGGGCTGGAGTAGTGAGAGGGATGGGTGACCGGTTGGGAAGTTAGATGATTTGGAATGATGAGGGGTGATAAAAGAATAAATTGAGAAGTGATGAGGGGTGGTGATTAGAGACTAGAGGTTAAAATAATTCAGAAATTTGAAAAAAAAAATTCAATTTTTTTTTTCAAAAACCTGTGGCGGCCTTTAGTCGCGGTTAGCCACAAGAACCGCGACTAAAGGTCCTCCGCCCCGACGGCCACCTGGCGCCCACGTGGACGGGCCTTTAGTCGCGGTTCTTAAGCAACCGCGACTAAAGGGGGGGGCCTTTAGTCGCGCCCGTCCGGTCGCGGTTGCGCAACCGCGACTAATGGCAGTTGCGAACCGCGACCAAAGGCCCTTTTTCCACCAGTGCAACCATTAGAGCAACTCCAACGGGGCGACCCAAATGGACGCGCGCTTTGTCCGTTTTTTATCCATTTGGATCGGCCAGGCGAACGCCAGCGTTCGCATTTTAAAATGGGTCGGCTTGACCGCCCAACGGGGAGGCCGACCCAAATGTGCCGGCGTGAGAAAAAAACAAGTTGCACGAAATAAACATAATTAAACATAAAAGTGGCCGGTCAAACGCTGGCCAAAATCCACCTAGATCTAATAAACATTAAATAAAACATTAAAAAAAGTTTGTGTCCGCCTGCTGCCGTCCTGCACGCTGCCCTAGACGTCGTCGGCCTTGCCCTTGCCCTTGCCCTCGACGCCGCCGTCGTCGGTGAGGTCGATGAAGACCGGAGCAGGGCCAGCCCACCCGAACGCCGCCTGGTACGCTGCCAGGGCAGCCTCCTCCGGCGTCTGCTGGGGCGGCGGCATTCTGGCAAGCCGCGCGCGCTCCTCCTCCTCCTCGAGCCGGAGCGCCTCCGCGTCGCGTTGGAGCATGGCATCGTAGCGCATCTGCTCCTCGCCGGCGGCCTGCTCCTGGCGGAGCCAGTGCTCCTTCCATCGCTCGAGGTGGGCCGCCTCTTCCTCCGGCGTCGCGGCGAAGTGGACGGGAGGCGCGCTCACCCACTCGCGATACTGGCCCGTCCACGAGTAGGCCTCCTCCGGCAAGGTGGGTGGAGGCGGGGAGCGCTTACGCGACGGCTCCGGCTCTGGCTTGGGTTGTATGGGCGACGACCGCGGAGGCGGCGGCACGAAGAGCGGGGTGTGGACGGAGTCCCCCGATGCCGACAGGGCAAGGGCTTGCTCCAGCCCATCCCATTGCGCGTCCTCCTCAATGCGGCTAGCCTCCAGCGCGTGCTGCAGGGCCTCCTCGAGGGCGGCTTGGTACTCCGCCTCCGCCTCCATGTCCTTCGGCTTTACCTGCGGGGGCGGCGGTGGGAACGGCGGCGGGACGGCGTCGACACCCGAGTGTCGTTGCTCCTCGTGTTCGAGGGCGAACCAAGCCTCCCAGTTAGGAGAGTCGGCGGCGTACTCGGGCAGCCGACGCTGCTCCGGCGTGAGCAGCGCGCGGCGCCGGCGCACCTCGTCGTCGTGCGCCCGCTGGGTCCGTGGAACCGCCGACATCGGGATCCGGTTTGGATCCAAATGCCAATGGTGTGGCAGCGTCACGTCGGGGTAGGGGAGGGGCTGCCTGTACTCCCAGTGCCACCGCGCTTGGTGCACCGGGATGTGCAGGCGCCAGCGTCCAGGGCGGAAACGCGCCGGTGGTGGAGGGGGGGCACGGGATGACGAGGCACCGGGGTGCCCTTCCCCTTGCCATTGCTTTTGCCGAAGAGGCCCATGGCGCGCGCTAAGGTTTGCGGTCGCCGACGAGGAAGCAAAGGAAGTGGTGGGGGGCCAGATGTGGACGTGAGAAGTGGATGAGGCCGACCCCGCCGCACGCGTGGTTAAAAAAAGACGCGCGCACTAGCTGACGCGTGGACCCGCTGTCGGTGCTCATCATAAATAAGACGATCGGTGGCGGTTGGGTGGCCACCAGGTGGGACGCGGCGGACAGCGAGGAGACGCGCGGCGCGTCCGCGCCGACGCATTCCAAGCACAATTTTGGGCCGGAAATGGGTCGGCGCGGACGCCGGGCGGACACAATTTAAGTTTGGGTCGGCGCGTTGGGCCGCCACTTTTGTTCGCGCCAACCCAAACGGACGCGGGCGCATGAAATTGGTCGCCCCATTGGAGTTGCTCTTACGACTTCAACGAACTGCAAAACATTTTGCTGAGTTGCACCACACAGCCAACAAACCATTTTCTAGCACATCACCAAAAGATAGAAAGCTAGAAACTAAATGTGGCGATAACAGCCACCAGGACCACCATCGCATTCTTATTCAGAGAGCCACAAAAGGCTTTAGACCAACATCACACGCAAGCACGCATTGCATCTCAGCTCTCAGATGTCGTCGCTGGTGGAAACTGCAACTAATGCTGCAGTAGATGGAAGCGGCGGCAAAGGCTTCTGGAAACTGAAACCTACACAAAACATGACAATGAAACAAGTTTAGTTCCTACATCCAAAATCTCAACTATCAGGTGATATTAAACAGATTTATTTCCCTGGCCCGACCAAATTTGTTTGTTAGCTTCGAAATCTAGCTTTGTGAGAGCTTTATATATGACCATTCAGATGCCTCAAGACTCAGAGAGCTTCAAACCTCAGAAGTACTGTGGAATGAATGCAATTTGGCCATCAATCTCTAGTTCTCTACTCGTCAAACTGACAACTGGCTAGGAATAGAAGTGAAAACAATGAGGAACTACACTATCCCCCATCAGTTGATGATTCTTATTAAATGGACTGTACCAACTGGAGAGCAAACATAAAAGCTAAATTTCAAGACAAGAAGAACTGCTATTTCCATCAGTAGTTATAAACAGTAAAAAAACACAGGATCAAAACCAAATGATTTATCATGGATGAAACAGATTTACAGGCACATCAGTAATGTTTGGTAACTATTGTATTATAACCAGTAATAATAGAACAATTAATTTTGGCAAAACTTAACAGCCATTCTGAAGTACACCAACACACAATCCAATAATGGATACTGAATATAAATAGAATTCAAAACGGTGTCATAAACCCTAATTGTTATTTAATTACAACAGACATGATAGAACAAGTAGGAATATCACAGAAAAAACCCATAAAGAATGACAAAGGTTACTTACGGTCTGAGTAAGGCCATTGCTCCGTGATGCTAATTTGATCACGAAGTATGCCACATGTACTCAAGATCTTCAAAATCTTGTCAACTCCCTCATCAACCTTTGTACATTCAATGTTGACAACCTTAAGGTTCGAGCACACAAATGATTGTTCGATCTTTTCTTGTGCTCCCGTTGCTCTAACAAGTTCCTATGATGAAAAATATTTAGTAAGATCAACAGAAATAATTCCTTTAACAACAAAACAATGAATTCATATATACCTTAGTGTCACCAAGCTGAAGAGTGAGCGTCTCAAGAATTGGAGAGTGTTGGAGAATGCACAGTAGGTCAATAGTCGTAAACCACTCATTGATTAATAGGGTCTCTAGTTTGTCAAATACTGGGCAGTATTTTAAATCCCAGCTGTAGATAAACTGGACAAATAGCAAGGAACAAAATGAAACTTTGAGACTCTAGGAGATGAAATAATTTTGGGTAGTAGGAACTTTGGGTAGATACTTTAATTTCAAACTACCAGATAGCAAAGGAACAAAAAAGAACTATGAGACTCAAGAAGACGAAATAAATTTAATAAGTAGGAAGTTTAGGTAGATATTTTAGTTTCAGACATAAGTAAGGAAATACAGAACTACACCTAAAGCCCTGTAAATAAATTTTATCCAATCAAGCCACTATGTTACAAATCATTGATTCAAACCCATCGGTGGAGATAAAAGTAGCAAACCATGGCAACGAGAATAAGTATATGCAGGTTAAACAATGAACAAAGAATAACAATAAGAGTAAAAAAGGAAGTAAGTGCAAATGTACCATGTCAGTGTAAATATCAGCTATCAACTCCAAATTAACAGCATTGGACAAACCATGGAGAAGCACACCCTCATCAACGGGATAAGCATGACAACTGCAGTCATCAAGGTCATAGTTCTGCCAGCTACCACGACACAAATGATAGCAATCATTGTCAAGCCAAATGTAAGCTGTTTCTAGAGATGGCATGTATTCAAGGGAAGGGGTCAAGCCATCAAAATTATCAAGTTGCAGTGAGATAAGACCCGGAGCAAATATCCGAATGTGAAACTTCGTAGGGAAGGAACAAAAGTCGGTAATGCAGAGACGCTTTAGCGATTTGGAAGATATCCTGCGTGCATCAATGTAGCAATCTTGCATCTCTAGTTCCTCCAATACCGAGCAGCGCGAGAAATTCAGAGTGGAGCGTTTTAGGTCAACCCGATTAAGGTGTAGGATCTTCAAGTGCTGGGAGATGAGAGGCACATCGAGTACTAGTGGGTCATACTCAATGTCATTATCATCATCTTCTTCATTATCATCTTCGGGTGTCGAGCACGCAAGTCTGCAGAGCATCAGCCGCAGGCAGAAAGGACAGCACGTGCCGGAGGAGGTCGTCGGTGAGGTCGCCGAAGTGACACTTGCCGCTCGCCGCTGTCTTCTTGTGCATTCCGTCGAACAGGTGGCGCGCCCTGCTGGAGCGGAAGAAAAGAATCAGCAAAAACAGGAGAAAAAAGGGGAATCTAGCATCCGAAATCTGGGAATCGAGTAGGCAGCATCAGCCGAGCTCAAATTTGGAATCCAGGAGCAGGCGGTTACTGATATCCGGCGCAAGTCAGCGCCGACCGTCGTCTCCCGGCTCCCGCAGCCAGGCCCTGCCCCTGGCTTCCACTCCCCTCGGAGTCCTCGGTCTTCTTCCGGGGCCGCCGGAGCTCGTTGTGTCCGGGAGCGAGAGGGCGGCGCCGCTAGTAGACGAGCAGTTCGAGCGGGGGAGGAGCGCGGCGCCGGCGCGGGGTGGATACTGGAAATGGCAGCTGCGTTGCGCTGACGGACACACAAGAAACCACATGGGCAGGTTCTTAGGAGCTTCAGCATTAAAAATTAAGTTCATCACTGAAGCAAGTACGCTGGAAGCTATTGCTGCGAGGGAAGGGCAAGCCTTGGCGGAAGATCTTTATAAAACAAAATTCAGATTGCATCGGATTGCAAGCGGGTGGTAGAAGAGGTCCACAAAAGCTCGTCATCAGAGTATGGAGCTATAGTGCATGAAATAATACATCGTGCTAATTCTTTTATGTTATGTAAAGTAGTCCATGAGTTTAGGAGCTTAAATTTCGAGGCTCACAATCTCACTAAATATACTTTGTCTCTGGATTTTGGCTGTTATGTGTGGTTGGGTCAGCCTGGAGAGCTTGATTTTGTACCGTTAAGCATTATGGAGAGTGAATAAAGCATGCGAGGTTGTCTCAAAAAAAAACAAGAGGTTAATTTTTTCTTCTCTCTTTTTTGATAATTAATATTTTTCTTTTCTCCTAAAAACAAAAGATTATTTGTAAGTTACCCAAAAAATAAATTGTGTGTTAGAGCACCCTATAAAAAGTGTCAAAAATACTCTTATACTATTATGGAACAAAAAGAGTACCGTTTACAAGAAGTTGAGGCAAAACAAAATGCCTCCAACAGCTCCCGTAAACCCGAATATGTTACGAAATCCCGTATAATCACCGGCAAGTTTACAGGAAGAAAGTTTTTTCATATAATTTTGACGGATGGATAACCGATTGAAACTTCACGACAAGGAGATTCTTGCGTCACGTCGGCTCGCCGCCGGTCACCGCCACATGGGGTTGCCACTGTGCGCCATCAGATCGGGCACTGTCGCCACACCGCGCCACCGTCGCCACGCCACCACACCGTAAATTTCATAATCATCCCGTAAAAGTGATTTTAGTAGGGGAGCTATTGGAGTTGCTCTTAGTGGATCCCCCTCTCCCGTCTCCCCACAGCCGCCCCAACCACTATTCCACACCACCTACGACTGGCATCATCAGCGTGCCACCTCGCCGGCAACCCTTGTACAACATTATAGACAACCGTGTTGTA